GCCGCCCGAGCCGCCCGAGCCGCCCGAGTCGCCTGAGCCGCCCGAGCCGCCCGAGCAGCCTGAGGTGTCGGCCTCCTGTTCGTGTGGGGGCTGCTGCTGCTCCTGAGCCGCCGTAGCTGCTGTGCTGCTGTGTGGCTGTACTCCTGAGCTACCCGACTCTTCCCGCCCGGTGAGACTGTCAGCAGCTATAATGGCCACCCCCAGTGTCCTGTCTTTTGACGCTGAGGGTCGCGCCGTTGACTTTGCAGTCTGGGTCGAGGACCTGCAGCTGTACTTACTGTGCGATGCGATCGATGAGGTTTCTCTCTTTGACTTTGTCTCTGGCGCTGTCCCTGCCCCTTCTCCTGATGCTGACCCCTCTGTTCGCTCCAAGTGGGCCACGCGCGATGCTGCTGCACGTCTTGCTGTGCGTCGCCACCTCCCTTCCTCCGAGCGTGCACGTGCAGAACGAAGAGACCTGAGTGGGGCTCCTTGGTGAACATGGCAAGAACTGCTCTGATAGAAGCGTCTATACAGATTGCGGTCCTCCCGCGCGCAGGAAAAGTGATTGTGATCTCACGGTCTTGAAGGTATCTAACACCCACCAAGTTCCAAGAGAACGAAGCGATGTAGAGATTAGTGAGGGAACCAGAGGGAATAGACGGGCACGGGAGGGTGGTAGAACTGTGAGCTTCTGCTGGTCCTGATGTAGGATTAGCTAGAGCAAGTGCGACCGGAGCAGCAAGAAGAGTGACAGTGTTGTGGTCGCGGAAGAAGCACTGGGACGCGCCAGAGTCCAGCGTGAAGGAGAGAGAAGCATCAGCAGTCGTTACTGCCTCACTATTAACTACACAAGCACCTACACTAGAATTAGAAGCACCTACATTAGCAACAGGCAAAGGGCCCAACCTAGGTACACGCAAGTCAAGAGATCCATACGTGACAGAAAAAACAGCATCCATAGAGGAAATGCCGGGCTGGGAACGGCTAGAGCTAGAAACGGCTAGAGGAAGGGACGCCTGGGGCAAGGCACAGCTGGGGCTAGGCACGGCTGGAGCAAGGCACGGCTGAAGCAAGGCATGGCTGGAGCAAGACACGGTTGGAGCAAGGTGCAGCTAGAGCAAGGCATGGCTGGAGAGAGGCACGGCTGGAGCAAGGCACGGATAGAGCGAGGCACGGCCTGAGCAAGGCACGGCCGGAGCAAGTCTCGGCCAGTGCAAGGCACGGCTAGAGCAAGGCACGGCCGGAGAAAGGCACGTCTGGAGCAAGGCATGACTGGAGCAAGGCACGGCTGGAGCAAGGCACCGCTGGAGCAAGGCACGGCTGGAGCAAGGCACGGCTGGAGAAGGGCAGGGCCGGAGTAGGGCATGGCTGGAGCAAGGCACGGCTGGAGCAAGGCACGGCTGGAGCAAGGAGAGCTAAGAGAAAGAACCCTAAATCTTGACAGGAGGGTGGGAGAAGGATGGAACGCCAAAGGTACACCAAATCTAGGAGTAGTGGCCTTCAGCCACGGCAGAGGGGAGCACGGAGCGAAGGAGCGGTAGAGGACAAGAAAACCTACGGTGAGAAAGCCCGGGAAGGGCCTGCTAAGGGCCTAGGCGCGTTAGGGAGGGGCACACGCCTCGGGCAGTGCTGCTGTGGGCGGCTCGGAAGGCCTGTGGCGCCACTCTGTTGCAGTGCGCGCTGCTCTATAGGGTGGCGCGCGCTGCTCTGCAGGGGCACGCGCTGATCTGCTAAGGCACGCGTTGCTCTGCAGGGTGGCGCGCGTTGCTCTGCTGGGCAGCACGCTGCTCTTCAGGGGCGTGCACTGCTCTGCCCGGTGGCGCACGCTGCACTGCAGGGGCGCACGCTGATCTGCTGGGGCACGCGTTGCTATGCAGGGTGGCGCGCGCTGCTCTGCTGGGCGGTGCGCTGCTCAGCGGGGGCGTGCGCTGCTCTGCCCGGTGGCGCGCGCTGCACTGCAGGGGCGCACGCTGATCTGCTGGGGCGCACATTGCTCTGCAGGGTGGCGCGCGCTGCTCTGCTGGGCGGCGCGCTGCTCTGTAGGGGCGCGCGTTGCTCTAACGGGGCACGCGCTGCTCTGCAGGGTGGCGCGCACTTCTCTGCAGCGGCGCTGCTGCGTGGCGCACGCTGCTCTGTTGGGGCGCGCGCTTCTCTGCTGGGTGGCGCTCGTTGCTCTGCTAGGGCGTGCGCTAAGTAGGGGCGGCGCGCTGGTCTGGCAGGGGCGGGTCGCACACGCTAAGTAGGGGCTACACGCTGGCGTGGCAGGGGCTGGGCACGCACGTAGTAGGGGCGGGGTACTACTACGGAGTGACGACATAGCGACGACAGAGGGGAGCTACTATGGAGCGACGGAGAGGAGTGAGCTAGGAAAGGCACCGGAGCGCGGGCGAGCTAAATTAGGTTAGGAGCGTACCTACTCGTGATCCCATCTAGAGAGTGATGCATAGCGGAATAGATTGACTAACAAGATGCGTGATGCAAATAGCAACCCTACTGTGCATCTCACTACATCCTATTATGATAATGTATAACATTTGACACCTCTCGCCATTCTTCGTTCAGACTTCGGGTTTATCACAATTTCCAAAAGTACCATAACAGCACATCCTCTCATACAAAGAATCGGGACCTCATATTGGTTCGAGGACATGCTGCTCAACAAACAGTGCCCCACTTAAAGGTCGTGCCTAAACGCTTCAAAGATACTGAACTTGAAAAATGTTAGGCGAAGGTTGCCGGGAGGTTGATCGTGCCTAGGATCACCTCAACAAGGTTTGCAGAGAGTGTGTTGCACTGGAAGCATTGACCTCAAGTCAGAGTGAAACTAAATTACTGAGATAATAAAAACATGCAAGTGCATTCGTTCAAATAAGAGTATAGGGGAATAAGAATAGACCTAGACTAGCCACGAACTCTAACGCGTACATTTCCTTCTTGAAGAGAAATCCAACCATGTGATTGCAAACAGTTACGAAACTGTTCCCGCCAAAATCCTCGCTCATGCAGCTGCCCAATACTTCTGCTCCGACGGTTCAGGTGCTGTCTGAACGTACGCGACTGTTCGCGTCACTTTGACCTTTTGAATTTGTACTCGCTTCTGCGCTCTTCGTTTTGCTACTAGAAGGAGTGCACAGTAGTTTCTCATTCGTAACAACCCCCTTCATTCCTGGCCATAGCAAGTCTTGACCCGTTTAATTACTCCCCTCACTTTGGAGCAGTGGTCGTACTGCTGACGGTGCAGTTGCTCCGTGAGGAAGTTGGCTGTCATGTCACCAGGGCCCAAAATTGGTTTAGGCCCACCCTGACAAATCAGGGTTCCAGGCCCTCTTTACCCTGGCCTGAGGTGTCGATCTGACGGACCCGGATGAACTGGCCCCAATTGAAAGAGAAGTTGGAATGTGGGCCGTTGATTGTGCAAGTGTAGATCCGATGGTCGAAGGCCGACGCGAGAATGGGGGAACCTGCTGACTCGACATTCAATCGCGAAGCGTGGTTCAGTTTGTCAGCATGCGAAGTATGTGCTGATCCGTGCTTAAAAAAAATCGGTATCAGGGAAGTCTACACACAACCCTGATACCGTCAGGCCAGAGAAATTTCTCAAATTTCCATGAAAATTTTGAGCATTCATACTTTTTTTAAGTGAGCTCTGTTAAAATCAGATATTTTAGGGCCCCAACTCCGTAATTTTCAGAGAGATTCTAAAGCTGACTCTGACGTTTCAGAGTCTCCCGGGAGTGCACTCAGATCATTCAGAGTACAAACACGTACCGACTCCGTTTTCTACTTGCGTTATTGACTGGTGATTCGGTTTGGACTTCACGGGTCACACCAGATTGGCACGGTCAACGCAAAATCAGCATGAAACAGCAAATCCGCGCCTTGTCAAACTCATATACTATAGTCTGTGTAGGCTGTAGTGGGGTAGCTTATATGGGGTACAACACTTTAGGGTTTGGTACTTGTACTCCTCATGCTGCTCAATGCAATCATTCTCGTTCCAGTTTCACATGGTATCGAGCAGGTTCCCTCGTGGGAACTGTTCCTAGGGCCCACCGTTTTTTTTTTCCTGCCCGGAGCGCACTCAGCCCATGCCCGCGTCGCGCTCCCCTCTCACGGCCCCTAGTGGCCCCGTCGCACCGCCCTTGCGGCCCCGTCACGCCGCCTTCACGGCCCCGTCGCGTCGCGCCGCCCTCGCGGCCCCGTCGCGCCGCCCTCGCGGCCCCGTGGCGCCGCCCTCGCGGCCCCGTCGCGCCGCCCTCGCGGCCCCGTCGCGCCGCCCTCACGGCTCCGTCGCGCCGCCCTCAATGCCTCGTCACGCCGCCCTTGCGGCCCCGTCGCGCCGCCCTCGCGGCCCCTTCGCGCCGCCCTCGCGGCCCCTTCGCGCCACCCTCGCGGCCCCTTCGCGCCGCCCTCGCGGCCTCTTCGAGCCGCCCTTGCGGCTCCTTCGCGCCGCCCTCGCGACCCCGCGGCCCCACCCTCGCGGCCCCACCCTCGCGGCCCCGGCGCCGTCCCTTCGTCGCCCCCGCCTGCGACCCCGGCGCCGGTAGCCACCCTTCGTGGCCCTGCCGCCGCCCTCATCAGCCTCGTTGCCGCCTCAGCCGGCCCCGCCGCCGTCCCTACTGCGGCCCTGCCGCCCTTCACGGCCCCGCCGTCACCACCGAGCAGCCGAGTCGCCGAGCCGCCGGCGCCGCCAAGCCGCCGTTGCCGCTGTGCCGCCGAGCCGCCGAGCCACAGGGCCGCCGTTGTCGCCGAGCCGCCGTTGCCGCCGAGCTGCCGAGCCACCGAGCCGCCGTTGCCGCCGAGCCGCCGCTGCCGTCGAGCTGCCGAGCCGCCGAGCCGCCGTTGCTGCCGCTGCCGCCGAGCCGCCCGAGCCGCCCTATCCGCTACCCCCGGTCACTGTCGTTGCGGCCCTGTTCCTGCCGGCGAGCCTCGGCCCTTCTCACCTGCCCGGTAAGAGCAGCGCCTCTGCCACTGCACTGCCCCTAGCCTGCTGCTCGCGTTGCTAGGCTACTGCTGTCATGGCTACCCCTAGTGTCCTCGCTTTTGACGATGAGGGTCGGGCCATTGACTTTGACGTCTGGGTAGATGACCTGCAGCTTTTCCTACAGTGCGATAGGGCAGACGGTCTCTCCCTCTTTGACCTCACTTCTGGTGCCTCTCCTGCCCCTGCTGCTGATGCTGACGCCACTGTTCGCTCAAAGTGGGCCACACGCGATGCTGCTGCACGTCTTGCTGTGCGTCGCCACTTACCGACCACTGAGCGTGCAAACTTTAGCCAGTACAAGAGTGCTAAGACCTTGTACGATGCTGTAGTTGCACGCTACTCTTCCCCTGCCACTGCTGCACTTTGCCGCCTCATCCTGCCGTACCTCTTCCATGACCTCGCTGCTTTTCCCATGGTCGCTGACCTCATTACGCACCTTCGCACTAGTGACATTCGCTACCGCGCTCCCCTTCCTGCAGAGTTCTGCGCCAAGAACCCCCCCGCTATGTACATCACCCTCTACTACGTAGTCACCCGGCTCCCTGACACCCTTCGCTCGGTCAGGGACCACTTTCTCTCTGTTTTCCCCACCACCCTCACCGTTGACCTCCTCAAGGAGCGCCTCCTAGCAGCGGAGAAGAGCATAGTCGCTATAGGAGCCTCTCATGGTGACCCTCGTGCCCCTGTCTTTGAGGGGTCCTCCCCCTCTCCCATCTTGCCTTCTGTTGCCTATGCTGCTGCGGCCGACCTTGTTGGTCTTGAGTCGGTCGGTGCGGCGTCTGCCCCTAGCGGGAGACGCCGCACTAGCAAGGGCAAGTGGGGCAAGGGCGCTGGAGGAGCTAGCGGGGGTGGTGGAGGCGGCGGTGAAGGCAGTGGAGGGGGTGGGGGTGGCGGTGGGGGTGGTGGCGGGGGTGGGGGCGTTAGTGGCGGCAGTGGAGGCGGAGGCGGCGGGCGGTGGGAGCGGAGGTGGCGGAGGTGGCAGCGGTGGAGGAGGTAGCGGCGGGAAGGTGGAGCTGGTCGGGGTGGCGTTGCACAGAGGGTCGGCTCCGGTAGTGGTCAGCGCCAGCAGCAGCAGCAGCAGCGCACTCGTGAGATCCCTCCCCCTCAGCAGCTTCGTGACTGGTACGCTGCACGTCAGCGAGGTGGGGGTACTGGTCCGTGCACCTACGTCCTACGCACCGGCGACCGCGCGGGTGAGCCGTGCGGGGGTGCGCACTCCACCCAGCGCTGCTTTGGCCGCCTGACGGACGCTTGGCATCACCAGTTCCCTGAGGCCACTGAGATCCCTCGCTGGGGCGAGCTGTCTAGGGCGGGGGTTCCTTTCTTTGTTCTTGATTGTGATGCTATTCTTGCTGCCATGTATGCTGTGACTATTAGTGATGAGGGTGACTGTTACCGGTGTTTTCCGCCCGGCCCGGGCATTGGGATTGCTGCTCTAGGTACTGGTGAGGCTGCTGCTCTAGGTGCTGGTGAGGCTGGTGCTCTAGGTGCCAGTGAGTCTGCTTCCTCAGGTGCTGGTGAGTCTGCTCTCTCAGGTACCGCGTCGGCTCCGGCCTCCCACACCTTCACCGTTGACTCGGGGGCTTTCCGCTCCTTCTTTCGAGACCGCACCACACTCACGCCGCTTAGTCGGCCAGTTGCAGTCTCTCTGGCAGACCCCTCTGGAGGTCCTATCTGGCCCACTTCTCCACTGTCCAACCCTGTCCGGCGGCCCCCTCTGGCACCTTGTCTGGTCTTTACCTCCCCTCGTTCTCCACGAACTTGGTGAGTGGTGCTGACCTACAGGATGCGGGGGTTCACCAGTTCACTCCTGCGAGCCAGCGAGTGACCCACTGCACGTGTGCTCGGACGGGCCGACACCTGGCCACGTTTACTCGTCGGCCGGGGTCGAGCCTGTACACACTGACCACTGAGTCTCCTCCGGTCCTTGCGTCTGGTCAGGTAGCTGCGTCGGGTCAGGTGTTTTCTGCAGCGTCCAGGTCTGGTCCTGAGTCTTCCCCTTGCTCCTGTCGCCTCCTGTCTCACCAGACTCTCCTCTGGCACCACCGCCTTGGTCACCCCTCCCTGCCTCGTCTCCGAGGTATAGCCTCACGTGTCCTGGTCTCTGGTCTCCCCCGGTACCTCCCTCCCCTTCCTCCGGGGCCTGCCCCTACCTGTGTTCCTTGCGTCAAGGGGCGGCATCGTGCTGCCCCTCACTCCTCCCAGTTTCCCCCGACCGAGGGCACACTGCAGACGCTTCACATGGACGTGTGGGGCCCAGCCCGCGTCCGTGGACAGGGTCACGAGCGCTACTTCCTGCTGGTGGTTGACGACTACTCGCGTTACACCACAGTCTTCCCCTTGCGCAGCAAGGGTGATGTCACTGAGATGTTGATCGACTGGATCCGAGCAGATCGTCTCGAGCTCAGGAAGAGTTTCAGCTCGGACTTTCCTGTTCTGCGTCTGCACTCCGACAGAGGCGGAGAGTTCTCCTCTGGCCTTCTGCAAGCCTACTGTTGTGGACGAGGCATCCGCCAGACCTTCACGCTTCCGGACTCTCCACAGAAAAATGGGATTGCTGAGCGCCGCATTGGCATGGTCATGGACGTCGCCCATACGTCCATGATGCATGCGGCTGCCCCCCATTTTCTGTGGCCGTTTGCGGTTCGGTACGCGGCGCATCAGATCAGCCTTCAGCCCACGGTCTCCATGCCGGAGACCTCCCCAGCTTTGCTGTGGACGGGGAAGGTTGGCGATGCGTCTGCGTTCCGTGTCTGGGGATCTCGGGCGTTTATCCGCGACCTGTCTGCGGATAAGCTGTCCCCTCGTGCTGCTCCCTGCGTCTTCCTTGGCTTCCCCCCTGACGCGCTAGGGTGGCAGTTCTACCACCCCACCTCTCGCCGTGTTCTGTCCTCCTAGGACGTCACGTTTGACGAGTCGGTTCCCTACTACCGTCTCTTCCCCTACCGCACTCCGTCCCTCCCCCCGCCACCGCTCTTCCTTACGCCAGGTCCCCACCCCGGTAGACCCCCTTCCCCCTCAGGGTCCTGCCCCCTCAGGTGTGTCCCAGGTAGACACAGTCGAGCCTGTTGAGGTAGCTGTTGACTCTGGTGCTTCTGGGGGTGCTGAGCCTGGGGGTGCTGACTCTTGGGGTGCTGAGCCTAGGGGTGCTACGCCTGGGGGTGCTGAGCCTGGGGGTGCTACGACTGGGGGTGCTGAGCCTGGGGGTGCTGACTCTGGGGGTGCTGAGCCTGGGGGTTCTACGACTGGGGGTGCTGAGCCTCGGGGTGCTACGCCTGGAGGTGCTGAGCCTGGGGATGCGGAGCCTGAGGGTGCTGGGCCTACTCGTGTGGCGTCTGGCGGTGCTGGGCCTGGAGGTTCTCCGCGTGCTTCGTCTCGGCGGGAGCCCCTCTCTCCACAGGAGGCGTGCTGCTGGAGCTGGAGGTTCTCCTGCTGCTGAGGGTGCTGGTACCACGGGTCCCGGATGTGCTCGTACTGGGAGTACTGGAGCTACTGGGCCTTCGGGTGCTGCTGGAGCTGGAGCTTCTGTGTCTTCTCGTGGTCCGACTGGAGCTGGAGCTGCTGAGGGTGTTGGCACTGAGGGTACTGCTGGCGTTATTGGAGGTGGTCCTACTGGGTGTGCTGCTGGTGCTGCTGGAGGTCCTGGAGCTAGTGGAGCTGCTGGGGGTGCTGGAGCAGGAGGAGCTGCTGGCGCTGGTGCTACCATTGGGGGTACTGGTGCTGTCCCTGCTGTTCCTGGAGTCGCTACGCGGCCTCAGCCGTACTTCGTTCCGCTCCTTCAGCAGGTTCTTGGTCTCCCGCCTTCTACTGGTCCTGCTCCTTCCTTAGAGTGTCCGCCGCCTGTCTAGTCCGAGTCACAGTTACAGCTGGCCTCCCCACTGCCTGCTCCCTCTCCCTACACTGGTCCTACTGGAGGTCTTGCTGAGCGTCGTGAACCTGCGTTTCGTCCTGCGTCGCCTGTCCGTGCTGCTCGCGCTAGTGGTCGTGGTTCGCGTCAGCGTCCTCCCCCTGTCCCCGGCACGCACCGGATGTCTCTCCGTCCGTCCACTGCTCCTCTGCGTGCCCCTTTGCCTTCTCCTCCGTCCTCTCTTCCTGCTCTTGCTGACCAGGAGTCGGACTCCCTTCGTGCTGCCAGTCCTACTGTGATGCGTCTCCTTGCTACTGTTGTCACTGACCCTTCCGTTGAGTCCGCTGCTGCGTCTGCCTTGGTCAGTGAGCTCGTCGACTTTGCTGCTCGCTGTTGTCTAGACTACGCTGCTAGTCTTGTTGCTGAGTCTGAGTCTGTCTGTCCTCCGTCCGTCGGGGGTGAGTGTGCCCGTGGCACGGACGTCCTTGAGGACAGGCAGGAGGAGTTCCAGTGCTTGGCTGCTGCTTCACCTCATCTCGTGTCCGTGCTGCTTACCCCTGAGGGAGACCCGGATGCACTTGACATCCCGAATTTGTGCTCTTACGCAGAGGCGATAGAGGGTCCCTACTCCTCTCAGTGGCAGGCAGCCATGGACGCAGAGATGGCTTCCTGGAAGTCCACAGGCACCTACGTTGACGAGGTTCCCCCGCCTTGGGCGAACATCGTCAGTGGCATGTGGATTTTCAGGGTGAAGCGGCCGCCGGGTTCTCCGCCTGTCTTCAAGGCATGTTACGTGGCTCGTGGCTTCAGTCAGCGGCAGGGAGTCGACTACTTTCAGACCTTCTCTCCCACCCCGAAGATGACCACTCTTCGGGTACTGCTGCACATAGCCGCTCACTGTGACTACGAGCTGCACTCTCTTGACTTTTGCACTGCTTTCTTGCAGGGCAGCCTGCACGAGGAGATCTGGCTGCGCCGCCCACTTGGCTTCACTGGGACTTTTCCTACTGGCACCCAGTGGAGCCTCCAGCGTCCAGTCTACGGTCTCTGCCAGGCACCTCGTGAGTGGCACGAAACACTGAGGACTACACTTGCGACTCTTGGGTTTGCTCGACCCGTCGCTGTTTCTGCGCACCGACACCTCTTTGCCGCCGTTCTACATCCTCGTGTACGTCGACGACTTGGTCTTTGCCACAGCTGACACTGCTGGACTCACACACGTGAAGTCCGAGCTGCAGAAGAGACACACGTGCACAGACCTGGGTGAACTGCGCACCTACCTTGGCTTGCAGATCACCCGGGACAGAGCACAGCGCACCATTACCCTGACTCAGTCACACATGGTGCAGCAGGTCCTTCAGCGCTTCGGCTTCATGTTCTCCTTGCCTCAGGCCACTCCTCTGCCTACTCGCCACTCGCTCTCAGCTCTGCCTTCGGATGAGTCCGTAGAGTCGAGTGGCCCGTACCCAGAGCTTGTTGGCTGCCTCATGTACCTGATGACCTGCACACGACCTGACCTTGCATACCCTCTTAGCATTCTTGCATGCTATGTTGCTCCTATGAGACACAGACCGGAGCACATGGTTGCAGCGAAGAGGATGTTGCGCTACTTGTGCAGTACGTCGGGCATGGGGCTTGTGCTTGGAGGGCGCAGTCGAGTGGTCCTCACTGGTCACGCAGACGCTTCTTGGGCTGACGACCAGGCTACGCAGCGGTCGTCACAGGGTTACACCTTCAGCCTTGGTTCCGGCTCTGTTGCGTGGCGGTCTACCAGCTCGTCTTCTGTTCTCGGCTCCAGTTGTGAGGCTGAGATCTACGCTGGGGCCATGGCTGCACAGGAGCTTCGCTGGCTCACCTACCTGCTGACTGACCTCGGAGAGCCGCCTCGTTCTCCTCCAGTGCTGTACGTAGACAACAAGGCCATGCTGGCCTTGTGTCGGGAGCAGAGACTGGAGCACAGAACGAAGCACATCGCTCTCCGCTACTTTCTTGCTCGTGAGCTGCAGCAGCGTGGTCAGCTGCGCCTTGCTTACGTGGCCTCTCAGGCCAACACTGCTGATATCTTGCCTCGGTTGCTCACTTCTTGACCTTGCTTGTACTGTTACATATATATATACCTGCTCTTGCTTGTCTAGCCTTATATATATATGTAATCTTGCATGTGAACTGGCCTTGAACTTGTGCTCAGAATGTGTGGTGACGTTGTGATCCACCCTGAGCTTGCTTTGCCTTGCTTTGCTTGACTGGTCTTGTGACCCCTTGCTCTCTCCCACTTTGCCTATGGGGGTGTGTCAAACTTATATACTATAGTCTGTGTAGGTTGTGGTGGGGTAGCTTATATGGGGTACAACACTTTAGGGTTTGGTACTTGTACTCCTCATGCTGCTCAATGCAATCATTCTCGTTTCAGTTTCACACGCCGTACTGCACAAGATTTTCGCCCAATCACAGCAAAATCGCACTGACACAACAGATTTGCGCCGTCAGAGCACAAAAAATCCGCCCAATCACCAAAAATTTTCACCTAACATTACAGATTCGCCCTTTCACAACACAAGATTCGCCCTGACACAACAATTCGCCTAGTCAGCGCATATTCTCCCGAAAATCCCCTTGGCCTAGCATGTTTCAGTATCAGATGAAACATTGAATACATTGCTAATGAACGTTAAATACATTGATGTTTCAGACTTTTTTTTTAGACACTCTGAAATTTCAGTCTTTTTGTTTATACCCACTCTGAAGGTTTCAGACTGAATCCGTGTACTAGTCCGACGAATCAGACAGGCCAAAAACAAACATGAGGGCCTTCGTCACGCAAACCATCATTCATATCATTGTAATAAAAACCAAACTCTTTTTGCATAAAGGTAAAAATAATGGAATCCTGATTTTGACCAGGTAACTCTGAAAAAGCCGCCGGCCCCCAGGGTAATCGGGGCATTTTACCCTAATATTTTGGGCCCTACCTGCATGTCACCTGTTAAGCAGTAGGTCAGATCGACCTTGCCCTTGTCAACTTGGTTCTTGACAAATATGTCGACTCGATAACAGTCGGACGAGATCTACAGTTTGGTGTAAAACAAATCGAATTTCATATTTGCCATTATAAAAGCGCCGTCACTTATAACCTCGATCATAAGCCCACCACCCTCCTAAAAAAACGTGTTTTATTATACCCCCAGGGCGGGCCTATCCAGGGCCTGACGGTATATCCGGGAGAATGCGGTATGTAACAATAGCGTCGTCTCATTTTAAATGGGTTTAGTTAATAAAAACCAAGCTAGCATGTCATAAATATGATAATTTTTGAAAGTGTAATGAAATGTAACACTTTCTAAAATTTTGTATTGTGAAAAGGGGTACGTGGCCAACACAGCAAAGGTAGCGCCGAAGCGCTACTCACCCTCTTTTGCCTACAAAAGAGGGACGTGGGGACATTCGTCCCCACCCACGTTTTCATTTTCAAAATTGTAGTTCTAATTTTGTTCTCGTCCACACTGGCGAAGACTCAGTCGCTTCCGCGCTTCACTGCCCCGTAAACGCTCCTTAACGACATCCTTAAGCGCAACCTCGCAACGATGGCTCCAGTCAACCCGGCACTTAACCGCGACAATTCGAATAATTCTAGCCCCGGTAACGCGGCGGAAACCTCGACTCCGACCGGGACAACGGATCGTCGCGGCGGAAAACGTCCCGCCGAGGAAATTTCAAGCGAGGGACCCTGGCGGTCGACCTCCTGCTCGGAGGCACCCTTCGGACCCCCCCTGAGGAACGCGCGACTGTTGTACAGTCGCGCGTGGCTGCTGCTGAAGAGCGCGTGCCTGGCAGGCACGCGCGTGCTGCGCAGAAGACGACGACCGCCGCTGACGCGGCGGTCGTCTTGACCGGCGCTGACGAGGGTCCATCCGGGCCCACGACCCAGAAACGCCAGCGCGCGGCACCCTCCGCTGACGTCACCCCGGTCAACGCCGCCCCCACCCCTTTGACCGCGCAGCAACTGCAGGCGCTGCTCTCGTTATTGCAGCAGCACGCACCGTCGACTGCAGCTACATCAGCTGAAGAAATTTCTGCGTCAGCTAAAATCGAAAAGCAGAAGGAACCTGTCGCGGCTCCCCGCTCCACCAAAATCGCTCGCACCAACAACGCTGCTCCTGCTCCCGCCCCAGCTCCGGCACCAACCCAAGCCCGTATCCCCGACGACAGCGACGACTCAGAAAATGAAGACGGTGAGGCCCCCGACAACCTTGCCCGTCGTCGCATTCTCGCACCCGCACCTCCCCTTCCCCCCCTCAACCCTTCACCCGCAGCTACTACCTTCATGCGCAAGGGAGTGCGTGACCAGGCGGAGGTGTTCTCTGCAATTCAAGCTCACCTGAGGCACGTCGAGTTCAAGCTCCAAAACGGCGACGTCGAGGACGCGCTCTCCAACGTGGAGCAAATCGACACGTTGATCAACAAACGCTTCGAGGTGCTCTTGGTGGCGGATGAGGCCGGTTTCGAAGCGGCGGATCGGTTCCAGCTGTACCAAGCCAAGAGCGTGCTCACATCCCGCTCGTACAAGCTCGCGGTAGCCGACGTGGCGGCCCTCAAGCGTGCACGTACCGGCTTCGCCCGCGGAGGCCGCCTTCCCCCTCGAGACGGTGAACCGGAAAGCAAAGGCATGCCACCCGCGGGCTGCCACGAGCCCCGCTTCAAGGGGGTGTGTTTCCGTTGCGGCCTATGGGAGGGCGTGGCGCACAAGGTCCCGCACCCGTGGTGTGAGAGGACCCATGGGGCGGCGCCCCTTGCCACTATGCCGGGGGGCGTAGATGGATGCACCGGTGGTGCGTAGGCTGGTTAGGAGCCTTGGGGAAGTAGGATAGGCCATGGGGGCCAGGGCAAGATGGCAGCCGTAGGGGCTGGTTATGGTGTAGGCCTGGCTTGTATGCCTTTGTGTGGATTAATAAAAGATTGTTGTTATTGAAAAAAAAAAATATATATACGAATAATGGAGAGAGAGAAAGGGAGCCAACACGAAACAAGAAGACAAATGGCACAACAAATAAAACATCAGCCCCCTCTTGAGGAAGGCAGCCACGGAGGAGGAATTGGCCAGGAGTGCAAGACAAAGCAAGGACCGAGAGAAGCACAAAGAAGAAGGAGAGAGAGAGAGAGAGAGAGAGAGAGAGAGAGAGAGAGAGAGAGAGAGAGAGAGAGAGAGAGAGAGAGAGTGAGAGAGAGAGAGAGCGAGGGAGAGGGAGGGAGAGCGAGATAGAGAGAGAGAGAGAAAGAGAGAGAGAGCGAGAGAGAGAGAGAGAGAGAGAGAGAGAGAGAGAGAGAGAGAGAGAAAGAGAGAGAACGAGGGAGGGCGAGAGAGATAGAGAGAGAGCGAGAGAGAGTGAGAGAGAGAGAGAGAGAGAGAGCGAGAGAGAGAGAGAGAGAGGGAGACGGAGAGAGAGAGAGAGAGAGAGAGAGAGAGAGGGAGAGAGGGAGAGAGAGAGAGAGAGAGAGAGAGAGAGAGAGAGAGAGAGAGAGAGAGAGAGAGAGAGAGAGAGGAACTATCACGACGACATCGTGATGAACAAGGTCGTGGGACCAAGTGACGCAAATGCGCCGATCTCGTTGTAAGGCAATGTAAAAAAAAAAAAAAAAAAAAAAAAAAAAAAAAAAAAAAAAAAAACCTTGCAAGGGTATTAAAGCTGATGACTGCGCAAGCAAAGAAAAAAAGAAAAAGAAAAAAAAAAAAAAAAAAACCCGGGAGTGCGGGGAGGCACGACGGCGGTAGAAGACAAGCGACATAGTTTGCCCGACGAAGTGTCTCGTATTATCTCGCGTCTAATCGACCTTGGCCCTGGTCCCCCCCCCCCCCGCACAACCTCGGTTGCCCATTAATTGCAGAAGTGGAAGGCGAGTGGCGGAGTGCTTATTGGGACCCATACGAGCACGCAATAACGGACAACATGGTGTCCATCATGCGAATGCGATTGCGCAACAGCCTCCATTGGTGGCTCTCATGGTGCGACAGCAGTCTTATCCTTTCCATCATTGCCAAAGGGTACCATGGAAGGGCGCAGAGCCTCTCCCCTTCGAAGCGCCCAATCACGCAGGCGTTCAAGCACACATGGCATTCACCCAAGACACGGTTAGCGACCTCATCGCGTCAGGCGCCGCGATGCATGTCTCGTCGAAAGCCGCACTGACGTGCATCAGCCCGCTCAATGTTGTGGAGCAACGAGACAAATGTCGGCTCATCCTTGACCTGCGGAAGGTCAACGCTCACCTCCAAGTTCCCAAGTTCAAGTACGAAGGCTTGAGTCGGGTCGCGGAAATCATTCGCCCACACGACTGGATGTTCACAATCGATCTCAAGTCAGGCTACCACCCCGTCGAAATCCACCCATCATGCTGGAAGTTTTTGGGCTTTCAATTGGGCGGAAAATTCTATTGCTTCACATCCTTACCTTTCGGCCTGGCAACAGCCCCGTTCATCTTCACCCAGCTTATTAAGCAACTAGCCAAGCGATGGCGCGCGCGCGGAGTGCGCGTAATACCATACGTGGACGATCTACTATTCCTCTACAACTCCGAGGCGCAAGCCCGTTCGACGTGCGTCGAAGTTCTCCACGACTTGAAGGCGGCAGGATTCGTGATAAATTCTAAGAAATCACACCTGCATCCCGCACACCACTTGCGCTTTTTGGGGATGGAGCTTGACACGGAACGAGGGATGTTCCTGGTCGGAAAGGATCGGCGCGAACAACTGCTGCAGGAGCTCCACCTACTTATACAAAAAGGGCAATCGGGTCGTCAAGTGCCGATTCGCAAGATAGCCCGGATCACTGGATTTCTCAGCTCCATGTCGCTCGCGCTGGGCACGACGGCGCGGGCCTTCAGCCATGAGCTGCTCCACTTGATCGACTCCGCATGGTCATGGAACTCAAAGGTTTTATTGTCACCAGGAGCGACCGAGGAGATGTTGTTTTGGACAATGCACTTTGATCGTTTCAATGGCGCCCCATTCCACCAGAGTCAGCGTTTTGATGCAGTGATACACGTCGACGCGAGCGCGCACAGCTGGGGTGCCACCTTGGCCAAGTTCCCAAGTACATCATGCGAGGCAAGCGAGTGCATGCCACAAGGGCTTCTCCCCACATCTAGTACGCGGCGAGAGCTCGAGGGAGTGCTCTGGGCATTGCGGACGTTCGCAACCCAAATCGTGGGTGCTCACGTCCTCGTCCGGGTGGACAACCAGGCAGTCATGTTTATCTTGCGCAAGGGGGGATCCCGTCAGGCGGATCTTACGTCGACATGCCAAGCGATCATCCAGTTCTGCCTCGGCAACACAACACGCCTCGCGATCGAATGGATTCCGAGGGAGCTCAACGCCCATGCGGATGACCTATCTAAGATGCAAGATTTTGACGACTACTCCCTACATGCACCTTGGTTTCGCCTCTTGGAACGACGCTGGGGGCCTCACGCAATTGATCTCTTTGCTAACGTTCGGAACAATCACGTTCAGCGCTTCTGCTCCAAGATACCGCACCCCGACGCATTCGCCGTCGACGCATTTTCCATCTCGTGGAAAGGCGAGCGATGCTTTGCCTTCCCGCCTCCACACTTAATTCCCGCTACACTCCGCCACGCGGAACTGACGCAGACCGAACTCACGCTCGTCGTTCCCCAGTGGACCGGAGCGTCATGGTGGCCGCTTCTTCAACCGTCCACTCAATCGTGGGCTCCAGCAGTAGTCGAGCACCTTTCCCTTGCCCAAGGCAGTCAATGCCTTCGGGCAGGTTCACACACAGCTGCATTCTCTGGTCTCGGATTGCCTCATAGCCCAATCATTGCTTTGCGTGTAAACTATGTAGTCTAATAACAATTTCTCAATGTGTCATTTCAGGACTTTTGGCCAAACTAAAGCAACAATTGCTGCACGTAATTAGCCACGTTCCCGCACCATCTACAATCGAGACGTACCAACCTTATTGGCAGAGATTTCGCACCTTCTGTACCCAAGTTAAGCTCGAGTTCCTCCCGGCAACCGACCTGACGCTAGCGCTGTATCTCATCCATGCGCTCAACAACAAAGCAACTCTCTCCGCGATCAACCTCACGTGTTCGGCAGTAGCCTTTGCCCACTGCATGACAGGCGAAACCTCCCCTACCGCCGGCCCACTCACCCTGCAAGTGCGGGAGTTCGCCAAGAGACATGGTCCCCGCCCTACAAGAACCAAAGAGCCCATATCTCTCCATCAAGTGCACGACATGGCTCGTCCCTTCCTCGAATCATCAATTCCTGCGGAATACCAGAAAGGATTGATTCCTCTTCTCATGTTTTCGGCATTCTTGCGCTACTCCGACCTCGTCTCGCTCCAATGGAATGACGTACAGTTCGAGGAGAAGGCAATGTGGCTGCTCATTCCGCACTCCAAGACGGACCAGGAGGGGAGGGGAGTCTGGATCCCCGTGGCAGCAATTTCAGGCCCATACTGCCCGGTGAGGTGCACGCGCGCATTCATACACATCGCAGGCCTCACAAAGGTGCCCCATGGACCGCTGATAAGGGTTTTCCCAAAGAACTCACAAGCCACACCGAACGATAAATCGCCATCCTACGTTACGATCAGAAACTGGTGCCTCGCAGCCGGCAGGCAAGCTGGACTGGATGTCGCGCACATCGGAACCCACTCATTCCGCAAAGGTGCAGCCACTGCAGCGGCGAGCCTCGGAGTTCCTGACCGGCTCTTCAAACGCATGGGCCGATGGCGCAGCGACAGCGCGAAGGAGATGTACGTTACAATCGCGCAGGATCAGCTCATCTCCCTCTCTACGCAATTGCAGGATCCTTCGACGGCTCCCTCGCCCGCTACGCATCAGCTATCCATCGAACGCCACCGGCAGCCCCGACTGCACTTGCCTCAGAAGACCCATATGAAATGATAACGCTGCCTTTGCCAGTCAGCCTAAGTACACTTTCACAATATGATAATTTTTGAAAGTGTAATGAAATGTAACACTTTCTAAAATTTTGTATTGTGAAAAGGGGTACGTGGCCAACACAGCAAAGGTAGCGCCGAAGCGTTACTCACTCTCTTTTGCCTACAAAAGAGGGACGTGGGGACATTCGTCCCCACCCACGTTTTCATTTTCAAAATTGTAGTTCTAATTTCCCACCCGCCCACCCATTTGTGTATGCTGTTATGTAGACATATATAAGACGAGAACGATGTACTACAACCCATATGAAATGATAACGCTGCCTTTGCCAGTCAGCCTAAGTACACTTTCACAATCTAGCTGAAAGCCAATGTAGGGCTCACTCCCCTTTTTTGCCCCTCTCATCCCTCGCTCGCCGCCACAGACTTTGCCGAAGCAATTCGGCGCAGAGCAGCAGCTTCTCTTGGCATCGTGGCATCCACAAACGCTGAGAACCTCGACGACCTCTCCTGCAGCAGCGCCGCCGGCGAATCAAGCTCCGCCACCTGTCCATCCTCCAGCAGCATGACCCGGTGGCAGTCCACAATGGTGTGCAGGCGGTGGGCGATGGTGATCACCGTGCACGCTGCAAACGCCCCTCCCCTCACCGCTGCCTGCACTGCTGCGTCTGTTGCCGTGTCCACATTCGATGTGGCCTCGTCCAACACAAGCACATGCGAGCGCCGCAGCAGCGCGCGTGCCAGGCACAGCAGCTGCCTCTGCCCCACACTCAGGTTCCCGCCGCCCTCTGCCACCTCAGCGTCGAGCTGACCTGGCAACGCCCGCACGGCATCCGCCACACCTGCTTGCGTCAGCGCCTCCCACAACTCCACATCTCCTCGCAGCCCTCCCCCGTCGCTTTTCCCCTCCTGATGTCCCCCCCTCCTCACATTCCCGTCCCCTTCCGTGTCCCCTGCCACCGCAGTGTAGGGGTCGAGGTTCCAGCGGATACTGCCGGAGAAGACCACCGGGTCCTGTGGCACCAGGGAGAGGCGCGACCGCAAGTCCCACAGCCCGATGCTCGCGGCATCAATGCCGTCGATCACTATCCGCCCTGCACTCAGCTCCACTATTCGATACAGCGCCATGGTTAGTGTCGTCTTTCCGCTGCCCGTGCGCCCGCACACTCCCACTTTTTCACCTGCCCGGATGGAGAAGGTGAGTCCTTTCAGCACAGGAGCCAGCTCCGGGCGGTACCTCACCACCACTCCCTCTGCTTCTATCACTCCTTGCTGCGGCCAGTCCGCAGGCGGGCGGCGAGATTCGACCACATCTGGTGCCTCGGTGGGCAGAGTGGTGTACTCGAGAATGCGCTCGACAGCGTTCATCTGCGACTCCAGCTCAGCATTCATCCTGACCATCCAATTCATGTACCCCGTGATCGATAGCGCACTCGTCAGCGCCAGCCCTGCAAAGCCAGCAGCCCAAGAGCCCGTGCTGCTGCTGCTCCCCCCTCCACCAGCTGCCGCCGCGGCTGCAGCTGCAGCAGCCACGCCACCCACCACGCAGAAGCACGCGGTGGCAAACACGCTCGACGCGCCGATCAGCTCCAGACGCAGCCCGAGCCAGCGGTTGGACGCCATGGCTGCGAGGTAGGCCTGGGAGGCGCGGTCGAGGTTGAGGCTGTTGCGCGCGGAGAAGGCGCGCTGGCGGCGGAAGGCACGCACGGTGGAGAGGCCGGTGAGGGTCTCGCTGAAGTGCGCGAAGATGGGCGAGCGGGCCAGCGAGTCGATGCGCTTGAGCTCACGTGAGGCGGCGATGTAGACGGTCTGGATGCGGCGGTAGAGGAGGAGCAGCGGGATGAGTGGCAGAAGAAAGGGCGGCGTGACGATGACTATCACCACGATGGCAAACACCACCTGCCAGGGGAAGAGTTGGGTGGGGTAAGAGAAGTGGGAGAGGGGGAAAGAGAGGAAATGTGGGTGGGCGGAGAAGTCAGGAGAGGAGGCATGTGAAGATTGAAGGCATGGTGACAGAGTAAAAGACCGAGCCATAATGGATGGAGGAAGGTGCACTTGGCATTCACCAGCTGCATTTGCAACGTTCCATAGTTCAGCATGTGGAGTTAGCGGAAGCAGACCTGGAAGAGGCAGGAGAGGTAGGAAAGCAGCGTGTCGGGCAGCTGCAGGTCCATCTGCTCCATGTCCCGCGTGAAGCGGTTCAGCAGGCGGCCTGATGGCTGTGAGTCAAAGAACGCCATGGGCAGGCGCAGCACTCGGGCCAGCAGGCGCGAGTGCAGCGAGCGTGCTGCTGTGAGGCAACCCAAGGCAAGCAGCACCCCACGGAGGGAGGAGAGGAGCCCTGTGGCCAGAGTGGCGAGGCTGTAGACGAGCTGGTGCGAGGAGAGAGGGGGCAGGGGAGAGGGGAAAGAAACCCACTGCCTGGTGAACAAATTGATTGTGACGATGAAAGCAGACAGAGAGCAATCAGGCTGGTGAGAAGCAGAGGGACAGAAACAAGCTGTGGCTGCCCAACTCAAATCCTGGAGCAGCGGAGGGTACGGGCGCAGAACATGCGGAAGCAGGCTTCACAAGACAAGAAAGAATGGAGGCGAGGGGTGGGGCAGGAGCAGCAGGGGCAGGGCAGGAGGCGTACGAGGAAGAAGGGGGCGGAGGAGGAGCCTTGGGAGGTCTTGGCGGTCCACACAGCGAGCCAGGCATCACTGGCCACTTTGAGTGACTGCGACACCCCGAACACCGCCAGCACCAGCACTGGCATGAGCCACCCCGCCCGCCCGCCCCACGCCCTGAGGTACTCCCAGTACACGCCTGCTGCCACCCCGCCCTCTGCTCGCCCCTCCTCCTCCACCAGCTGCCCCACCGCCCTCTGCTTCTTCCCACCCTCTGCACTGCCACCGCTGCTGCCTGCACTGCCACTACGAGCAGCAGGGGCGGTGGTGCTGGCTGCTGGATGTGCGGATGTGGGGGAGTGAGCCAGCAGAGGGCGTGTGAGGTCGTTGTTGTTGTCGCCTTCTGAAGCACCCCTGCTATTGCTCGTGCTTCCACCACCCACCCTCCCTGTTTTGCCATTGCCGCTGCTGCTGCTGCTGCTGCTGCTGCTGCTGGGTGTATGTGCTGCCTCGCTGCTGCTCGCACGTGGCTCAGGTGCTGTCGCAGCAGTGACAGCAGTAGCAGGAGCAGCAGCAGGGCCGTCTTGCCATGTGGCCTTGCCTTGCTCATCCGGCTCCTGCTGCTTCTCGTCCCACAATGCCAAGTCCACGCCCCTGATGAGCCAACCACATGAGAGCATCCAAACAAGAAAAGAGAGCATGAGGAGACAATGAGTTGGGGCGTCTGCAGAATCGGGCCTGCCGGGCAGCATGGATTTTGATGCAATTTATTTGCCCGCGATTGGGAATCGCAATTGACAGCAACAACCGATGTTAAAGCGCCTGTGGGGTGGGCGTTGGTCTGAGACGCACACGGAGGAGCAGGTGCATGTGAGACAGGCATGCGAGAGAGGCATGCGAGAGAGGCATGCGAGACAGGCATGCACCGGACAGGTCTCATACACGATGTGCAATACCCCTGCTCCCACTGCTGCTAGCCGCTGTTCCGGGTCGAGCCTAGTGCTCGCCTGAGAGCTCACCTGGCCTGCAGCTCACCTGGCCTGCAGCTCACCTGGCCTGCAGCTCGTCAAATGTGCCCATGGCAGTCACACGGCCGGCTCTGATGACGATGATGACGTCAGCATGCGATGCATACTGCAGCTGATGTGTCACCAGCACACGCGTGGTCCCCGCCAGCTCACCGCAGATACACTCTGTGAACAGGTGGCGGCCTGCGAGAGGAGGATGGCGTACAGCACACGTGGCAGTTGGAGTAAAGAAGGCATGTGTGCAGTGATATGTTTCTCTCAAGAGACCGCACTGAATACTAAATCAGTGCTTAATGTGACCCACATGCTTGTTCCCATGCGCGCACCGTGCATGCATTTAGCACTGTGCTCGTGCGGCAATGCATTCAGCACGATCGTGCCATGACATACAATGCGCCGCACGCAACCGACCACGTGCCATGCACCCACGCCCACTCAGATGTCATGCTCATTGCTCATTGCCCTGCACGCACCCACATGAGTGTCAACAGCACTGAGCGGGTCGTCCAGCAGCACCACATCGGCCCGCGCATACACCGCCCTCGCCAGCGCCACTCGGTGCTTCTGCCCCCCCGACAGGTTGATGCCTGGTGGGTGGACGGGCGGGGGGGGTGGACGAGATGGCGTTGCAGGGAGGTAGCAGTGGAGAGGGGAGGTAGCAGTGGAGGGGGGAGGTAGCAGTGGAGAGGGGAGGTAGCAGTGGAGGGGGGAGGTAGCAGTGGAGGGGGGAGGTAGCAGTGGAGGGGGGAGGTAGCAGTGGAGGGGGGAGGTAGCAGTGGAGGGGGGAGGTAGCAGTGGAGGGGGGAGGTAGCAGTGGAGGGGGGAGGTAGCAGAGGAGGGGGGAGGTAGCAGTGGAGGGGGGAGGTAGCAGTGGAGAGGGGAGGTAGCAGTGGAGGGGGGAGGTAGCAGTGGAGGGGGGAGGTAGCAGTGGAGGGGGGAGGTAGCAGTGGAGGGGGGAGGTAGCAGTGGAGGGGGGATGGTAGCAGTGGAGGGGGGAGGTAGCAGTGGAGAGGGGAGGTAGCAGTGGAGGGGGGAGGTAGCAGTGGAGGGGGGAGGTAGCAGTGGAGGGGGGAGGTAGCAGTGGAGGGGGGAGGTAGCAGTGGAGGGGGGAGGTAGCAGTGGAGGGGGGAGGTAGCAGTGGAGGGGGGAGGTAGCAGAGGAGGGGGGAGGTAGCAGTGGAGGGGGAGGTAGCAGTGGAGAGGGGAGGTAGCAGTGGAGGGGGGAGGTAGCAGTGGAGGGGGGAGGTAGCAGTGGAGGGGGGATGTAGCAGTGGAGGGGGGAGGTAGCAGTGGAGGGGGGAGGTAGCAGTGGAGAGGGGAGGTAGCAGTGGAGGGGGGAGGTAGCAGTGGAGGGGGGAGGTAGCAGTGGAGGGGGGAGGTAGCAGTGGAGGGGGGAGGTAGCAGTGGAGGGGGGAGGTAGCAGTGGAGGGGGGAGGTAGCAGTGGAGGGGGGAGGTAGCAGAGGAGGGGGGAGGTAGCAGTGGAGGGGGGAGGTAGCAGTGGAGGGGGAGGTAGCAGTGGAGGGGGGAGGTAGCAGTGGAGGGGGGAGGTAGCAGTGGAGGGGGGAGGTAGCAGTGGAGGGGGGAGGTAGCAGAGGAGGGGGGAGGTAGCAGTGGAGGGGGGAGGTAGCAGTGGAGAGGGGAAGGTAGCAGTGGAGGGGGGAGGTAGCAGTGGAGGGGGGAGGTAGCAGTGGAGGGGGGAGGTAGCAGTGGAGGGGGGAGGTAGCAGTGGAGGGGGGAGGTAGCAGTGGAGAGGGGACGGTAGCAGTGGAGGGGGGAGGTAGCAGTGGAGGGGGGAGGTAGCAGTGGAGGGGGGAGGTAGCAGTGGAGGGGGGAGGTAGCAGTGGAGGGGGGAGGTAGCAGTGGAGAGGGGGATGGTAGCAGTGGAGGGGGGAGGTAGCAGTGGAGGGGGAGGTAGCAGTGGAGGGGGGAGGTAGCAGTGGAGGGGGGAGGTAGCAGTGGAGGGGGGAAGGTAGCAGTGGAGGGGGGAGGTAGCAGTGGAGGGGGGAGGTAGCAGTGGAGGGGGGAGGTAGCAGTGGAGGGGGAGGTAGCAGTGGAGGGGGGAGGAATCGCAAGTGCTGGTGGCCCAAGTGCTGGTGGCCCAAGTGCTGGTGGCCCAAGTGAAGTCAGGAGCATCGCGAGGAAATCGAAGCATGGAAAGGCAGAGCAACGCGGAGAAGAAACGTTGGGAACTTCAAGAATATATGGACTGACTAAGCGGCTACCATTTAAGAAATGCTGGACCCAACGGTGTGCAACTCAGCACTTTACCCTAGCAAGCTTCAGTGTAACAGGGGGGAGAGGGTTTACTAGGGGAGAGGGTTTACTAGGGGAGAGGGTTTACTAGGGGAGAGAGGGAAGCAGAAAGAGAGAGGATTTACTGAAAGATGCCGCATGAATACTATATTATACGCATCATAACAGCCGACACTCATTTGCTGCTTCGGAGTCAACATGCTTTTGTTGGCCCGGCTCGACATGACTCAGAGCAAGCCATGAGAAACAACACACACACGCACCGCGCTCGCCGATCTCAGCCAGGTCACCGCCGGCCAGCATGGCGAGGTCGTGCCTCAGCGCACACACGTCTATGGCTCGCTGGTACCGCCCCTCGTCCACTGCGGCCGCTGTGTCGCCCGCCGCCCCCATGAGGATGTTGTCGCGCACCGTGGCATTGAGAATCCAGGGGTCCTGCCATGCATGAGGGATGGGTGGCGGATGGTAGAGCGGTGGAAGCGTCGAATCCATCGGTCCTGTCATGGCGTGGCGCCATCACAGCATGGAGTGGTGAGGAGGGTGCACGTGGCGATGAGGAGGGTGCACGTGGCGATGAGGAGGGTGCACGTGGCGATGAGGAGGGTGCACGTGGCGATGAGGAGGGTGCACGTGGCGATGAGGAGGGTGCACGTGGCGATGAGGAGGGTGCACGTGGCGATGAGGAGGGTGCACGTGGCGATGAGGAGGGTGCACATGGCGATGAGGCTGGCACAGAGTTTGCCATAGCCTGCTGCGAAAAAACTACCTTTTGTCTCACCAGCCTGCCATGCAGCATGCGGTAAAACTCGCATGTCACCACATCACCATGCACACGTGTCACCACATCACCATGCACACGTGTCACCACATCACCATGCACACGTGTCACCACATCACCATGCACACGTGTCACCACATCACCATGCACACATGTCACCACATCACCATGCACACATGTCACCACATCACCATGCACACGTGTCACGACATGACCTCACCTGGCTGGTGTACGCCACGCGGCCTGCCACGGACACACTGCCCGCCACGCGAGTAATTTCCCCCAGCAGCCCCGCCAGCAGTGACGACTTGCCCGCCCCTACCTGGCCACGCGGGAGGAGGTGGGGAGGATGTGAGGGGGAATGGGAGGTAGAGGAGAGGCGCCAAGGTGCTTTTCAGAAGCGCCTCCTCTCGCCTGACTGATTCCCTTCCCCCTAGTCCCTGACTGATTCCCTTCCCCCTAGTCCCTGGCAGGCAGAGATGACTTGCCGGCAGCCACATGCGAAGAGGAGAGGAGAGGACGGTAAGAAGCCAACAGAGTAGAGCGGATAGAGCGGATGACGAGTGAGGTTGGGAGCGAATGTGCATGAGGTGAGCTCACCTCGCCCACCACCATCACAAGCTCACCTCGCCCACCACGATCACAAGCTGCCCTGGAGGAATGTCCAACGTCACATCACATAGTGCCAACGCCCCTTCTCCCCCCTCCCCCCCCCTTCTTCCCTCCCTGCTTCCCTCCCTCCTCCTTTGCTTCACATGCACCTATGCCATTCGCACCCACTGCCACAGCACTGCCACTGCCACCGCTGCCACCAGCACCAATAGTGCTCGAATCATTGCGGCCACTGCCATCAGCATCACTGGCGCTCTCCACTTCGCCTGCCCCACCTCCCCAGGAGAAAGAGGCATTGCAAAGCTTTATGCTACCCTTCTGGCTGCCCGGCTCCTCTTCCAAAGGAACGATCTCGGGCAGCAGCAGAAACTTTTCAACACGGCCCGCGGAGACCTTGGCTTGCACGTAGTCGTTGATTTGATCGGGAATCATGGCGAGGGGGAACCTGCAATGCGCGGCGCGTGCAACAAGGGTGGAGCACGCAAGGAGGAAGGGGAGGTGGGAGGGAGGAGTGGGGGTTGGGACGGGGGTGTGTGGGCATTGGCCGATGAGGATAACAGTAGCAAGGGCCTCTTGAATGACTGTCTGGGCAATGGTGAATGGAACAGAGAGCAACCCCACTTGAGTTCGTGGCACCTGAGCCACGGCTCAGTGCGGAAGGTACTAGCTGGAAAGGATCAGCAGCAGGTATTAGTGCCACCTCGCCTCACCCCACCCAGGCCAAACCCACCTCACCCCAGGCCAAACCCACCTCACCCCAGGCCAAACCCACCTCACCCCAGGCCAAACCCACCTCACCCCAGGCCAAACCCCCGTCACCGTTGACACAGTGAAGGGAGGCAGGCATGAGGGCGAGGGGGGCGCACCTGAGGAGGTTGAAGAGGGCGAGGGCGGGGAAGGCGACGTCGGCAGTGAGCGGGCGGCCGAGCAGCACATAGGCGGCGAGGGAGACGACACTGACGACCATGGGCGTGAGGTAGTACACGAATAGCCCCATGGCCTCTGGTGGTGGTGTGTGGGGGTGGGGACACAGGAGGCACAGGGAGCATGGAGCCACGGACCGGACGAGCATGGGTGTGATGTAGTCGGCGAAAAGGACCATGGCCCCCATGCATGGCCCCCATGCATGGCCCGGCTGTGGTGGGGGACAAAGGGGAACAAGGGGGCAGAGGGGGCAAGGAGGTAAGGGAACAAGGGTGCACGTAGGCAAGGGAGGCATATGCAAATAAACAGCATGACTTCACATGGCAGCTACTGGCATGACTTCACATGGCAGCTACTGGCATGACTTCACATGGCAGCTACTGGCATGACTTCACATGGCAGCTACTGGCATGACTTCACATGGCAGCTACTGGCATGACTTCACATGGCAGCTACTGGCATGACTTCACATGGCAGCTACTGGCATGACTTCACATGGCAGCTACTGGCATGACTTCACATGGCAGCTACTGGCATGACTTCACATGGCAGCTACTGGCATGACTTCACATGGCAGCTACTGGCATGACTTCACATGGCAGCTACTGGCATGACTTCACATGGCAGCTACTGGCATGACTTCACATGGCAGCTACTGGCATGACTTCACATGGCAGCTACTGGCATGACTTCACATGGCAGCTACTGGCATGACTTCACATGGCAGCTACTGGCATGACTTCACATGGCAGCTACTGGCATGACTTCACATGGCAGCTACTGGCATGACTTCACATGGCAGCTACTGGCATGACTTCACATGGCAGCTACTGGCATGACTTCACATGGCAGCTACTGGCATGACTTCACATGGCAGCTACTGGCATGACTTCACATGGCAGCTACTGGCATGACTTCACATGGCAGCTACTGGCATGACTTCACATGGCAGCTACTGGCATGACTTCACATGGCAGCTACTGGCATGACTTCACATGGCAGTACTGGCATTACTTCACATGGCAGCTACTGGCATGACTTCACATGGCAGCTACTGGCATGTACCCTGTAAGGCCTCCATGTGACATCTCAACAAATGGGTTGTAAATCGAGCCATGCACAATTTGAGTTGGAGCTAAGGCGAAGCAAATGAAGCAGGACACATGCGCATGTCGCAGACACAATGGCGGCCAGGCCGTGGGTGCGAATGTGGTAGTGTGCGAGCAGAGCAGACCTCGATGGGGCACAGCACAGCACCCACCCGTGCATCACAAACCCGGGGCCAGCAAACCCACCCACCCAGCAGCACGGACACAGTGATCTCCTTCATCTCCTCCGCCCGCCTCGCCTCTATGCGCCCTTTGAACAGCGCCTCCCACCCGTTGAGCTTCACGGCGCGCACGGCCCCCACGGCCTCGGAGAGCAGGCGCACACGCGCATCGGTGCGCGCTATGAGGCGGTGCCGCACCGCGGAGAGGCGCCCCATGAGCACCCCGTTGAACGGCATCAGCAGCAGCATGGTGGCTAGCCCCGCCAGGGCTGTGACAGGGAGGGAGGAGGAGGGAGGAAGGGGGGAAAGGGGTTAATGAAATCCCCACCAGCTCTGTGCGGATGGGGTTGAGGAGGGAGGGAGGAGAAGAGGTAGGGGCGTGCGGAAAGAGGGGAGGGGTGGGGAAAGGAAACATTGGGAGAGGGGGAAAGGGAATGGGGAGAGGATATGAGTGCACGGAGGCAGTGCAGCCAAGCTGACGAGCCTCTTAGCCGCATTGTCTAATGGCACTACAGCAAACTAGGCCCACTTCTAAGGCCCACTTCTAAGGCCCACTGTAAGGCTTGCCATGCAGAAGGAACGTAGAGTGTAAGTGCAGTTTGGCAGTGCGGATGGGCGATAAACAGGAAGGAGAGCGAGGTGAGGTAAAGGTTAGGGGAAGCAGCGAGAAGGAAAGGACGGAAGGGGTGGGTTTGGGGGCACTCGGGTTGAAGCGAGGGTGCACGAGCAAGATGGTTGTCATATGTAATAAGAGAGAACCGGAAACAAGGCGAGCGGGCTGACAGAAAGGGCTGGCTGGTGAATTGCCACGAGGCTCGTTTTGGGCATGCGGTCATGCTCACAGTGGGAGCATCAGGTATGTTGATAGCATGTCGTGATGCCATCGTATCATGGTGGCATGGTGTGGTGGGATGGCACAGGTAGCATGGTGATGGCATGATCATTCTGGCATGATCATTCTGGCATGATGATAGCAGGGCGTGGTGGCGTGGTGGTTGTGTCATGACATGGCGTGGGATTTACAACGGATGGTATGAGATGCAGGCCATGGTGTGGTATGGCATGAGATGGCATGAGAGGCCATGGCATGGCATGCGATGCCATGGCATGGCATGGCATGGCATGGCATGGCATGGCATGGCATGGGATGGCATGGCATGGCATGGGATGGCATGGCATGGCATGGGATGGCATGGCATGGCATGGCATGGCATGGCATGGCATGGCATGGCATGGCATGGCATGGCATGGCATGGCATGGCATGGCATGGCATGGCATGGCATGGCATGTACAGAATTGGATAATGGACCCACCAGGGATGACAGAGAGGAAGCGAAAGAGGAAGGCCAAGGCACCTGGTGGACGGGGATGAGGAGGGGTGGTGGAGGGGAGGGGTGGTGGAGGGGAGGGGTGGAGGGTTGCAGTGGTCAAGAGTGGAAACAAAGAGGGCTGGTGGGTCCGTGCTTTCGCGCTCCCGCGAGCAGGCGAGCAGGGAAGCACAGGTGCCATAAGACCTCAGGACGTGGTGAAAGTGCAAATATCGCAGGATCGTCTGCATACATCGCAGGATCGTCTGCATATATCGCAGGATCGTCTGCATATATCGCAGGATCCTCTGCATATATCGCAGGATCGTCTGCATATATCGCAGGATCGTCCGCATATATCGCAGGATCGTCCGCATATATCGCAGGATAGTCTGCATATATCGCAGGATCGTCCGCATATATCGCAGGATCGTCTGCATATATCGCAGGATCGTCCGCATATATCGCAGGATCGTCTGCATATATCGCAGGATCGTCCGCATATATCGCAGGATCATCTGCATATACCGCAGGATCATCTGCATATATCGCAGGATCATCTGCATATATCGCAGGATCATCTGCATATATCGCAGGATCATCTGCATATATCGAGCCCCACAATCGAGTGGGCAGATCGATTGGCAAAACGAGGCGACCGCGACGTTGCAACGATCGCACCTGAGAATTGACGGATCTCTCGCGATCAGTGATCAGTCGCATTCACACACTGTACGGAAATTCTGGCCAAAAAGCGTTTTGTAGCATGGTTAGGTTACAGCCTAGTACATAGGGTAACCAATCCGCGCATCGATCGCGACTGATGATGGATTGTCTACTTTCACCGCGTCCTCCAACACATCCCCAACCCCGCAAGCCCCTCCAGTGAGACGCCTCCCCATGGGCAGAGCAGCCCCCCTCACCGATGATCTGCAGGGGGCCGCTCCACACGATGTGCAGATAGATGCACAGCTTCGCCAGCTTCTCCGCATCGTTGCTCTGCAGATTCACCTGCTCAGGTGGAAACAGCAGAAGCGGTTGCAGCACAGGGCTTGAGTTGAGAGCAGTGTTGTGGAGGTCCCTGCGTGCAGGTAAACGGGTCAACAACCAGATGACCACTTCACTTTGAGAAGAGAGTCAACATGAGGAGTGTGGGAGGGAGATGTGAGAGCGTGGGAGGGCAGGCAGCGATCTGAAGCATGTCATGGAGCAGAGCAGAGGCATCATTTGGTGCCACATGGCTCGCTGCCACAGGCCCGTGTGAGGGGGGCAGAGGGACGTACAATCTCCCCCAGGCTGGTGGAGTGGCGCGCGGCAGCGGAGATGCGCAGCGCCTTGGAGTAGATGAGCGCCACCAGCGCCGTGCGCACCTGGTGGCCGCGCACCATGTCCATGTCGTGCGCGGAGTGGGGGAGGGGAGGGGGGGTGGGTAAATCGGGCGTGGAGTGGGTTGCATGGGGATGCGGTATGGAAAGGGTAGAGCGGAGGACGTGATGGGACGAGGCAGGGGATGCGGTTGCACAGGGGTGGAGTGCGGTGGGAGAGAATGAAAATGAAATGGAGTGTGAGTGAGAGGGACGTACAGCTGTATAGGAGAAGAGGCATGCACGTGGGAGGAGAGGAACGCACATGGGAGGAGAGGAACGCACATGGGAGGAGAGGAACGCACATGGGAGGAGAGGAACGCACATGGGAGGAGAGGAACGCACATGGGAGGAGAGGAACGCACATGGGAGGAGAGGAACGCACATGGGAGGAGAGGAACGCACATGGGAGGAGAGGAACGCACATGGGAGGAGAGGCTGGTAGAGGCGGTGGAAGTACTGATGGGCGACGAGCGACTGCCCCACGTTGCACGCCAGCAACACCCCTGCTAGCAGCAGCCCCGGCAGCCACGCTGGTAGTGAAGCGGCCACTAACGAGGATAAGTGCGAGGAGGAGGAGGAAGGGAGTGGGTGAGTTGAGGAGTGTGTGAGGGGGCCCGTGAAGCCAAGAGTGGCGTTGGCGATTGGGCTCTGGGTGTGGGGAGGCGCTTGAGGGACGAGAGACACGAAAGGGAGGAAGATCCAAGCGAGGAGTTGCGGTGCTGGGGGGAGAGATGGGAGTAGGGTAGTGACAGGGATCGTGGGGTGGGTGGAGGGGGCGGAGAGGAGTGAGCGGTGGAGGGAGGGTGTGAGGGTGGAGGGGAGGGGGAGCGAGGAGTTGCGGAGGAAGAGCGAGGGACCAAGGAGGCCTTCGGCTGAGCTGTTGACTGCTGAGTGCGGGGGCGCTGTGCTGACATGGAATGACGTCATGCTGAGGTGGAGGATGATCTGCTGCAGCAGCAGCGGCGAGGCGAGCTGCAGCAGGTCGTGAATGAGCTTGAGTGCGCCCGCTGCCATGAAGGGCCGCACGAATGTGCTCACCAATGCACGGGGCAGCGAGGGATGCCTGGGGGCAGGGGGGAGAGATAGGGGGCAGTGGGTGGGAGAGGGGGAGGGAAGAGGGAAAGAGGGGGAGAAAGGGGGGAGGGGGAAAGCGGAAAGAAGCAGTCTTGAGGGGCAGAGAGTGGCGAGGCGAGGAGCAGGTGGGAGCAGTGGAGATTCCAGAGCGCCCGCTGCCACGAAGGGGCGCGCGAATGCGCTCGCTAGCGCGAATGCGGTCACTAGCGCGAATGCGGTCACTAGCACGAATGCGGTCACTAGCGCGAATGCGCTCACTAGCGCGAATGCGGTCACTAGCACGAATGCGGTCACTAGCGCGAATGCGGTCACTAGCGCGAATGCGGTCACTAGCGCGAATGCGGTCACTAGCGCGAATGCGCTCACTAGCGCGAATGCGGTCACTAGCGCGAATGCGCTCACTAGCGCGAATGCGGTCACTAGCGCGAATGCGGTCACTAGCGCGAATGCGGTCACTAGCGCGAATGCGGTCACTAGCGCGAATGCGGTCACTAGCACGCGGGCCAACAAGTGACGCCTGGGAGCAGTCAGGTGAGGGAGAGAGGGGACAGGGGGTGAGGAGGAGAGGGGGAGATGGGGAGCAAGGGAGATGGGGAGCACATATACACACAGTATGCAAATGATATCCACACACATATCATGCATATACATGAAGATATACATACATCCAATACAACTCTGCTGGAGCACCTGTGCGTGGCGTTCGTCTCGGCCTGCCACGCGGCCCTGAGCGAGGGTGCGACGGCAGCAGTGGAGTCGCGCGGGCAGAGGGGCGGCAGGTCGGGCGCGTGCAGCACCTTGGCGTTGCCCAGCCGTATCAGCGGCCCCACCCACGCGAAGGTGAGGCGCGACCACAGCGACGCCTCGTCCTCCGGTGACGGCTGCAGGGAGAGAGGGGATGGCAGGAGGGGGGGAGGAGGAAAAGAACGTGAGGCGGATGAGCGGATGAGCGGTTGAGCGGTTGAGCGGTTGAGCGGTTGAGCGGTTGAGCGGTTGAGCGGTTGAGCGGATGAGCGGTTGAGCAGATGAGCAGATGAGCGGATGAGCGGATGAGCGGATAAGCGGCCCCACCCGCGCGAACGTCAGGCGCGACCACAGCGACGCTTTGTCCTCCGACGATGGCTGCCGGGAGGACGGATCAGGGGAGGGGCGAAAAGGGCGGGGGGTTGGGAGTGTAGGGGGGGGCGGAATGGGAGGTGAGCTGTGACTCTTGAGAAACGGGGGGCGATTAAAGGAAACTGCTGCCTCCATTGCTGCTCACGCCTGTGGCTGCTGGCTGGATAGGCGGTGATTGGCGGTGATAGGCGGTGATTGGCGCGGAATCAAAGAGGTCGCCACTTGTCCTGTTCCGCATCTCTTCCCGCTTCGGCTGCCTTACCCCTGAGATGCCATCGCGGCCGTCCGTCGAGGCCGCCATCGCGAATCAACGGCGGCTCAACCTCCTGCCGCCAGTTGCTTTTGACGATCCACAATTCGACTCGCAAAGCCGACAATTATCGCTTCCTCACGCACGAATCCCGCTCCCGAGTCGCAGTTGCGATCGTCACGGTCGCTGATTGATCGTTCGCGCGGCGGAAGCGACGACGAACCTAATTTCCTCGAGTAGTTAAACTGCTCATTACACTTGATCGCCGATAGCACCGCAAATGTCGCCAATGAGCCAACGGCCGACCTTCACCCGCCCCCCTTGTGTCTCAACTCGACCATGTATGGCGAGGGTTCAAAAGGGGCGCATTTAGATGAACTGAAGTACGTTGTGGGCTTCTGTACGCTTTACTGTACCCACACGATCGAGTGGTGTCGGTGCGGACACGTGTGGGTCGCGGGTGAAGATGACTCCACCAAGCTGATCGCATTTAAATTCTTGAGGAACATGGTATAAGTCTGCAGCATAGAGAAGATATCCGATACAGGAATCCAGTTCAGCCAGCATCTCTCCTTAAAACCGGAGTTGGGGCAAGGGACGTGAGTGGCGCGCGAACCAGGGTGGTGTCGCGATTTGTGGATGCCGATCGCAGAGCCTGAGTACCTCGCGTGTGTAACCAGATTTTGAATGCAACGTACGAAATGTTGAAATAACCGAAAGATTGTTATAAGCTTTCCGAAGGTTCTCCATCGTCGCGTCACTTCATAGCGAAGCAAGCGCCTGTACCAGTACCGCATTAGCTCATATAGAGCACGCGGAAGGTCGAGGGTCACCCGAAGGTCAACAGTCGAAGACAGTCGACGGTCGTGACCCTTGACTGACCAGTAACCGCGCATGGCAGTTACGAAGTGCAACATGGTAACTGTCCAGAATGGCAATTGTCGTGGTTACTGTAGCAATGCAATTCGGTTAATAAGGGAATGTAACTCTCAGAGTACATGGCTAGCTAGGAATGCTATTTATACCCTTGTACTCCTATCTTATAGTTATCTTGTTCTCCTTCAATTTATCAACAAGGTCATTACAGAGACTGCTCAGTTCTCTCTCACACACTTAGCATCATTATCCTATCCACTACGATCCTTCAGTTGTAACATCATGGTATGAGAGCTAGAGTGGATTATAAGGCCTGCTAAGTTCTTGTTCTCAATAGAACATCCTTCTTATAAATTACTCATTACATCATCTAACGATTCTGCATCACTATGGCTCCAGAAGGAAAAGCCACTGCAGACTCTCCGGGCCCACCACCAGCAACACCCACTGCACCATCAGCTGTGACCTCGGCTAGCGCTGCTCTTGTTGAGCAGCTGGTCGCCCGCATCAACGCTCTTGAGAGCCATCAGGCGATGAGCGTTGATGGCTCAAGCTATGCACGTGGAGTTGCTGGACTTCCTCTCCCTGGAGAAGACCGCCGCGTCAACTCCGAGAGATCATTCACGTTTGACAACCATCAAGCTTCAGCTCCTCCGCAAGACAGCCAACAACGAGCACACTCAGACACGATTGCAACTATGCAGACAAAATTCATTATGACATCAAAGCTGAAAACATAAGTTCCTTTCGACGGAAAGGACTTCTAAACTTGGAGCTTCGAGTTTGAGCTCCTTGCGACAACTGCGCAAATCTGGATATAGTACGACGGGAGCTTACCGTTTCCAACGGAAAGCACCATCCAAGAGAAGAACCAACATTACCACGAATCTCTTCTCGCGTACACCACTCTGCTCCGAAATCTCTCACCCGACGAACAGCTCAGCATTCGCTCCTACAAGTCAGAGTGAGCGCCCGGGTACGCCTCCTGTGAGCACCTGCACAACTCATACATGGCAACAGATCCAGTTACTATGAGTCGCCTACTCAGCCAGCTCACATCGATCAAAATTCATCAAGGGGAGAAAGCGGGACCATATATCAACCGGTGTTGCAATCTGCGCGACCACATCAAGAAGTGCGGCGGATCAGTCCCAGACGACATGTTCATCTCAATGGTTCTCTCCGGCCTCGGACCTGACTGGCGTCAATGCCAATCCTTGCTCCGCGCTCGAGCAACCGTCTCCGAATCAGCCCTCTGCGCCACACTTCTCTCCGAGCAAAAGGAGATCGACCTGTACAACGAGAAGAACACCAAGCGAGATAAAGTAGTCTTCTACGTCGGAGCAACCGAAGGGGAGCAGCACTGAAAGAAAATAGCTTTCTGCAAGTACTGCAAGAAGCCTAGGCACACTATCGATCAGTGCTACAAGCGAAAGGCCGCCGACGAAAGGCGCAATAACCCTTCGAGCCTTCAATCCTCAACGGCTTCGACCTCTTCCGCCGCAACAACCACCGTCTCACCACCCTCTGTCGCAAGCACCTCGCAGACACCTGCACGCATTACGAAAAAAGGACAAAGGCAAGGGGACAATCATGAGCTGTATGGCTCGCCGCAACAGAGGATTTCGATACTACGATCGAATAACATTTCCGTCTGACGACCCCATTTGTCAAACATATATGCTGCTGATTGTGTATGCTGTAGTTGGGTAGCCCATATCGGGAACAACCCAAATTAGGGTTTGCTACTTGTACCCATCCTGTTGCTAGTTCATCCATTCCTCTTCGTTATTCTGACACCATTGACCCTGTTGCACCACCCAGGCAAGACAACGATCCCACTGCCCAAACCTGGATCGACGAACCACAAAGGTACCCTCCTGATTTAGAGCTACCACCACCGACACCAGAATCGCCTCCCAGCATCTCGGCGAACCGGTATTTCGCTCTCTCGCCATACATCGGCGAGAGGGATGTGGTTACGCCGGAAATCGCCAACATCGCGCGACAGAGCTGCGAGCACATCAACACCTGGTGCCTGGACAGTTACTGCGGATAGCACATGGTGGGATCCCCAACGTTAATCAGCAACTCCAAACGCATGCGTCGACCCTGCGATATCACAGTAGCAAACAACAGCACACTCAAAGCATACGACATCGGTGAAATCTTCCTTGAAGCTGACGACACAAGATTCACAATTCACATTGGTGACGTGCTCGTCACTCTAGATCTGCGGTACAACCTGCTTTCCTCGGCACAACTTATGCGCTGCGGAGTCGACATTCGAAGTAATTGCAAAGACAATACCTTCGAACTCTTCTATAACATACATCGGCAAGGCGATTGATGACGACGGGGTTTTCGTGCTGCAGTTCTCAGCGCAAGGTACCACCGGCGATTTTCACCGCACCCTGCTACTAAAGATGACTCCTTCAGAGACACCGACCTGGTCACATCCCACCGAAATGGATCTTGAGCGTCCTGCCTCCGACGGCCTTCTACGACTGCGCACCGTTCTGACTCCCTCAACCTCCAACCCAGCTGAGACTGGACCTGCAACAATGGAAGAGGACAGTGGCACGTCAGCACATGAGAAATCACTCACAGAAGAAAGCGAGAAAACTGGAACTCAATCAGGCAGTCTCGGCCCAGCACTTGGTCCCTTGGGAGAAGTCCTAACGCAAGAAGAAGCAGCCGCCGAAGAACGGGGCACTGTCTCAGCAACAAAAGCAAGCGGCACCGCTGCCACCAAAGGCGGATGGGGATGGGGCACAGGAGGCGGGTGGAACTCCGGAGGCGGATGGGGTGCTTGAGGAAATTAGAACAAGAATGAATGTGAACTATGAATGAAGCGAGTACAAATATGCAACCCTAGTTGGGTTGTACCCCCTATGGGATACCCCACTATAGCCTACACAATAGCATAACCTATAATGTGGGGTACGTCGGGCATGGGGCTAGTGCTTGGAGGGCGGAGTCCAGTGGTCCTCACTGGGCACCCGGACGCTTCTTGGGCTGATGACCAGGCTACGCTGCGGTCGTCACAGGGTTACACCTTCAGTCTTGGTTCCGGCTCTGTTTCGTGGCGGGCTACTCGCTCGTCTTCTGTTCTCGGCTCCAGTTTTGAGGCTGAGATCTACGCCGGGGCTATGGCTGCCCAGGAGCTTCGCTGGCTCACCTACCTTCTGACCGACCTTGGAGAGCCGCCTCGTTCTCCTCCAGTCCTGTACGTAGACAACAAGGCCATGCTGGCCTTGTGTCGAGAGCAGCGACTGGAGCACAGGACAAAGCACATTGCTCTCCGTTACTTTCTTGCTCGTGAGCTACAGCAGCGTGGACAGTTGCGGCTTGCGTACGTGGCCTCTGAGGCCAACACTGCTGATGTTTTCACCAAGGCACTTGCGCCTTGTGATCACCAGCGCTTCTGCACTCAGCTGGGTCTTGTGCCTGTCTTGCCTCACTTGCTCACTTCTTGACCTTGCTTGTACTGTCACATATATATACTCCTGCTCTTGCTTGCTTAGCCTCGTATATATATATATATACATATATGTGCTCTTGCATGTGAACTGGCCTTTTGGCCTTTGAACTTGTGCTCGGAATGTGTGGTGACTTTGTGATCCACCCTGAGCTTTGCTTTGCTTTGCTTGACTGGTCTTGTGACCCCTTGTTCTCCCCCACTTTGCCTATGGGGGTGTGTCAGAACATTATAGCTTATGCTATTGTGTAGGCTATAGTGGGGTATCCCATAGGGGGTACAATCCAACTAGGGGGCTCGGGCGACTCGGGCGGCTCGGGCGGCTCGGGCGGGCCGGGCGGCTCGGCTCCTCAGCAGCTCAGGCGGCTCGGGCGGCTCGGGCAGGTCGGGCAGCTCGGGCGGCTCGGGCGGCTCGGGCGGGTCGGGCAGCTCGGGTGGCGCGGGCGGTGTAGGGCCGTAGGGCCGCTGGTAAGGCTCGGGGCCGCAGCGAGAGGGGCGGCGGGGCCGCAGAGACGGGCGGCGGGGCCGTAGTGAGAGGCGGCGGGGCCGCAGCTAGAGAGGCGGCGGGGCCGCGGAGACGGGCGGCGGGGCCGCAGAGACGGGCGGCGGGGCCGAAGTGAGAGGCGGCGGG